AGGATTTGTCACTCCGATTGTCGGAGAGGTATCTCTGGGCCCTCTCGGTAATGCACATCACATAAAGCCTTGCAAGCATTGCGACTAATGAGTTAGTTGTGGGATGATGGATTACGGAATGAGTAAAGAGACTTGCCGGTAACGAGATTGAACTAGGTATTGGATACCGACGATCGAATCTCGGGCAAGTAACACACCGATGACAAAGGGAACAACGTATGTTGTTATGCGGTCTGACCGATAAAAGATCTTCGTAGAATATGTAGGAGCCAATATGAGCATCCAGGTTCCGCTATTGGTTATTTATCGGAGACGTGTCTCGGTCATGTCTACATTGTTCTCGAACCCATAGGGTCCGCACGCTTAAGGTTTCGATGACAGTTATATTATGAGTTTATGCATTTTGATGTACCGAAGTTTGTTCGGAGTCCCGGATGTGATCACGGACATGACGAGGAGTCTCGAAATGGTCGAGACATAAAGATTGATATATTGGAAGCCTATATTTGGATATCGGAAGTGTTCCGGGTGAAATCGGGATTTTACCGGATTACCGGGAGGTTACCGGAACCCCCCGGGAGGTATATGGGCCTTAATGGGCCTTAGTGGAAGAGAGGAGAGGTGGCCAGGGCTGGGCCGCGCGCCCCTCCCCCCTAGTCCGAATAGGACAAGGAGAGAGGGGGCCGGCGCCCCCCTTCCTTCTCTCTCTCCTCTTTCCCACCTAACGAATCCTATTCCAACTAGGAAAGGGGGGGAATCCTACTCCCGGAGGGAGTAGGACTCCTCCTGGCGCGCCCTATGATGGCCGCCCCCCCCCCCCTTTTGATCCTTTATATATGGAGGCAGAGGGCACCCCTTGAGAGACAAGTTGATCCACGTGATCATATTCTTAGCCGTGTGCGGTGCCCCCTTCCACCATAGTCCTCGATAGTATTATAGCGGTGCTTAGGCGAAGCCCTGCAACGGTAGTACATCAAGATCGTCACCACACCGTCGTGCTGACGGAACTCTTCCCCGACACTTTGCTGGATCGGAGTCCGGGGATCGTCATCGAGATGAACGTGTGCTAGAACTCGGAGGTGCCGTAGTTTCGGTGCTTGATCGGTCGGGCCGTGGAGATGTACGACTACATCAACCTAACGCTTTCGTTGTCGATCTACAAGGGTATGTAGATCACACTCTCCCCTCTCGTTGCTATGCATCACCATGATCTTGCGTGTGCGTAGGAATTTTTTTGAAATTACTACGAAACCCAACATTATGTACCATGTTAGCGCACCAACTGCTCCCAGGAGGTTGTGTGCCCCCTTGACTTACCAAACTAGCTTCAAACATTTTTGCGTGGCCCAAGCTGGTTTTACATTCACAAACCTTGTGTTTTGTTTGTCTGGGTGCCTGCCCCGCAGATCTTTCAAAATAACTTGGGTCAGTGGGGTGGAACTCCCTGTTGGTCTGTACCTGCGCAGTTGCGAGTGGTTGCCTGAAAAATAGTACCAGCCACCTTGTCTCTCCCTTAATACGATAGAGTCTGATTCGGAGATATAGCCGGTTCTCGATTTGGGTATCGACTCACCAGTGGCCTCCTAGATTTGTTTGATGTTAGTTAGAGGGTCTTGTCATTTCAAATCTTCTGGTTCGTCAGTTGACCAGAGAGGATGTGCATGGATACCTATAATGGGTCATTGGAGTACCCCTGCAACGTTAAATCTTTTCGAAAAGGCATGTCCGTGATCATGGCTAACATGGAACTTAATGTTGGTTCATAGATAACTTTAACATACATACATAAAACTTGCCAACATGTGAATTCCTTGATGCAACGCTCCAGCCAAACCGGTTCACGCATCGGTTCCTGGTCATTGCATGTGGTATTTAGACTGGACCCACAAACCAACACCGGTCTTCCATGCGCACTTTGTCCTCACTCGTGGCACTCGGGATCAACTTCCTGGTCGGTCACCCATCCTCAAGTTGCTTCAAGTCAAGCACACTTAACTTTAAAGTTCCTTTTAGATGGGCTCTCAAAAAAAAGAAGGTGCACCTTGTTGACATGAGTAATCTATCATTCCAATTAAGCTCTGATGTCGCATACAACCCCCTCAAAGGAACTTACATCCTTGTCGGCCTAGCAGGAGCATTCCCTATCGGCACATGCCTATCTGTGCCAATGCCAGCATCCACATGTGCCCCATGTATGCATCACTTACCCACACATGTCTGTGTGACCGCGATGGTCAGCTCTGATACCAATTGTAACGCCCCGGTCAAACCCTCCAGTTCGCCCACCGTATCTTGATCGTTGCACCAAGAGACCCATAGACCAACACTAGCCTTTTTTGCACAATTTGTCCTCAGTCGTATGCACCTGAGGTTAATTTCTCAGACGGTCACCCATCCTCAAATTGCTTCAAGTCAAGCACGCTTAACTTTGAGGTTCCTTTCGAATGGGCTCCTAGAAAAGAAGGTGCACCTTGTTGATATGAGTAGTCTATCGTTCCAACTAAGCCAGGATATCACACTTGAATGCCTATTTTTTGAGGGCATAATCCGATGGGGAGGACAAGGTAGTGTTACTTTGGCGTAGGTAAGTGAATAGATGACCAGCTTACGATCCCTCACGCATGTTTCTCTCATCTTGAATCGAATAGATGTAAGTGTGGAACTTTGTTTACCCGCTTGTTGCAACTTCACCTCTTAACCCTACCTCACCTAAAAGTATTGATAGTTATAGTACCAATGGTAATGACACTTTCTAAGTACCAAAAGTACTCAACCTTGCCACAATAACAACAAGCACAGATCACTACAACTAGGATGTTGAGATGTCACAACATAGAGTTTCTCGAGCGATGAAAAGTAAATTAGCGGATTCTGGCTGGCAACGTGTAACAGATGGGATGGGACCGTTTGCTTTATATTTCCGCCTCTTAGGCATCATTTGATCTTGTATACTCAGTCCATTTGAGACTTACACTGTGATGATAAATGTTGGACCATGTGGTCTCTTCATGTAATAAATTTGGATCTTGGCACTTGTATGCCCTATTCATACTTATATATTGGTAGTGAAATTGTTGTGATATTCGATTTTTAACGGTCGTAGCATATAATAGTGCGTATATGATATGAAATCATATGCTTACGATGGCACTATATGCACGTCGATTCTAGAAATGGGCCGCTAGGGTCTATATTTGGAATAGTACCACATATGGAGCCTTACAATAATGTCTAGAGTCATGTCCGCTCTGGAGCGGCGCTGAACAATATGAATCCGTGAGAACAACTTTGCACGTAGAGGGTTTTGTAGCAGAGGCGGTTTTGAGTGTGACCGGGATGGCGGATGTGCACGTGGATGCGGTCCGAATGTCCGCAAAGCCCACTTTGGTTTGTGTCTGGTTTGCGGGAAATCAGACATCCGGACCGATCCGCGGTTCGATGGGTACCGCGTTGGATGACAAACTACGTCTAGACTACTTGGTTCGGACAGTTTAAGGGTCCGTGTTGAAGAAACCTTATGAACTTTGATCTAACACCATCTTACTCAGATGGTATCCTTGTTAATGATGTTCCGCCCTGCGTGATGAATTTTGTAATGAACGATTGTAATAACCTTTTTAATTAATTAATATATGAGGTGGTTTTCTAAAAAAAAAGGTGTGTCTAGGCCACATCTAGATGTGCTCTAGTTATTGCACACCTAAGTGACTCAATCAAGCATACAAAGAAAATGCCCACACAAATCTCCGCGTAAAATCAATGACATATGACTTAGATGTGCAATACTTATGGCACATCTAGATGTGCTTTAGCAAAGAAAAAAGCTAGTGGTCAACCGACTGATCTTTCCTCTCACATCCACCAGGTTCTACGCTTGACACACGTCTTGATGGGCCAGCACACCGCTTCTTTCCTTCATCCGTATCTCTAATGAAATGGCCGCAAGTTTTTATCTCTCCTATCCATGCATTGAATCTCAGCTGACCACGCTGAGCGCTCCGTACTGCAGTTCTTGCAACTGAGCACATGTTTCAAAAAGGCATACTGCAACAAATGGGGTGATGCAGAGACTAAGGGGTGCTCTCTCCATTGCAGCCGTCGGTGTTCTTTCAAGTTTTCGCCACAACAGTCTTGTTGCAGGAATACATAGAAGAAGCTAGAGATATTGGGTCCTATTGCAATGAAGGTTTTGCAACAAGAGTCTTGTTAGAGACAAATAGAGAAGAAGTTTTGCATCAAGGGTCATGTTGCAGAAAAATAGAGAAGAAAAAGTTTTGCAACAGGGGTCTTGTTGGAGTAAATTAAAGAAGGGAATATTTTGCAACAGAGGTCTTGTTACAGAAAATTAGAGAAGAGATTTTTGTAACATGACTCTTGCTACGAAAAGTTAGAGAAGAAGATGTTTCACAACAAAAGCATTGTTGCAGGAAATTACATAAGAAGAATGGACGACTTGCCTAGTACAATCAGACGGCTCGCGAGGCAGCGGATCTCGTTAAATGATCCATCGGCCGACGCGTAGCACCGCCCGCTTTAGCAAAACTGGTAAAAAAACATCATCTTGCTCAAACGTAAATACACGCGCAACTTAGCCTTAAACAGTCCAGTCTTGTGCTGTCCTGCGTTATTGTCTGTTAGCAAACTTGATTGATTCTATCTCCTTCGTTTTATTGGTGCGCCAAGATAGAGCTTATCGCTATCCCCGCTTTGGTAGATCAGAGCGCCTACGTGGCAACCCCCGTCATGGGCAGCCTGACTAGGATCGATGAGGGCGTGATCTCGGAACCGGCTTCACGTGTTTCTTTTGTTATATGTGTTTTGGTACTACCGTACAAGTAACCAACCAACCAGCCAACCAACAATACTTGCCTTCCGTCCTACCATCAGCGTACTATCAGATGGATTAAGGCAGGAAGTTAGACTCAGGATTGAAGAGTTGAGAAGACCCATTAAATTAAGTCAGATACTACAGTTCCCTAAAAGAGGTCAGATACTTCTTGTTAAGACTTTTCTGCTCTGGGGTCAGCTTCTCTACCTCGGTTGCTTGGACATGGATGAGTCGGGGACATCTTGGATTCTTGGCCACCATCAGAAAACTTCCTTCGCGATGAATTCGAGGAATTTCCTTTGACAGGGTTGCCGCCTAGGCGATTAGACGCATAAGCTTCCCCCATCCTCCTCCTGCATTCTTTGCTTGCAGCTTCATGGTCAACCACTGAAAGTGCGAAAAGGGAAGATGATTACTCAAGGTCCAGACATTGCATTTCAAGTGCCTTTTGCACCTGAGAAAAGAAGATCGAGCACTTCTTTCTTTTCACCTGGTTTTGGGTAGTCCTTGCCGACGATGCACCTGGCTTTCTCCTGCACGCTAAGGGGTGCAGTCCAAGGCTCGTAGATGTACTCCTTGGGCATGTCTACAAAATAAATAAAAAGATGGAGGATCAATTAGTTCTGTAGTCATAGACGAGATGTCGCTTTCCGATGCTGAAATTATAAGAGCGTTTAGATCACTAAATTCCGTATTTCTTTACAGAGGGAGTACCTTTTAGCACCGGGATGAAATGCCTGATGTAGTCTCCGTTGGGATCGTACTTCTTTCCAAATGAGATTGGGGAGTAGATTCTGTGATACTGTGTTGACAAATACGTCGAATCAAATGTTAAAGAAGCTATTAGACTGATCAAAATCTAGTTATAACTTACAATTAGTGCCTCAAGGGACTTGTTGAGTATAATATTTATTAGGAAAGACGAGACAGATTAGGATTTGTTCTGACTTGTCTTGTACTCCAAGTAGATGATTGTACTCCTATATATATGTCCACGAGGCTTAAGCAATACAACAACTATTCCACCAAATCCCTCTCTCCCTTCTAACATGGTATCTCTAGTCTCATCGTCTGCGTCGCTACCGTTGTGACTGCGATGTTGAGTATAATGTTTATTAGGAAAGACGAGATAGACTAGGATTTGTTCTGGCTTATCTTATACTCTAAGTAGATGATTGTACTCCTATATATATGCCCACGAGGCTTAAGCAATGCAACAACTATTCCACCAAATCTCTCTCTCCCTTCTAACAGGACTGTTTGATTGCTGACCTGGTAGAAGAATGATGAACAGGAGAGCCATAGCCAATTTCCATTGTTAATGGCCCAGTCCGAATCTATCAGTAGCCTTTCGAAGACGTCACGGCCTTGCTCCCAGTGGATGTACTTCATGTCAAAGACAAGTTGACAAATTGAGGTAAAGCAAAACAACTTAATCTTCGAATTGGTTTTTTTTCTTCTAGAAAATGGAATCAGAGGTGAAATAAACTCTCTTTTTTTTCCTTGTATGAAGTGATTTCCTTCCTGTCCGCTATAAAAAATAAAGTAGATCTTTCAAAAAAAAAAGAATCACTTAGAAAAAAAACTAATTCCATGTTGCTTTCAAAAAAGGTATGTCCTTATCAGATATGGTTAGGCAGTTGAGCGTCTTATTGTTTTAGGGGTCACCTTCATAATATGGACCACAACAAATACTTCGCAATACACAATTTATTGTTATGGATTTACCTCGCACCCAAGCTTTTGTAGTCTTAGCTAGTGCTTCTCAAAGTGGATGTGAATGTTGACGTCCCTAAATGATGTGTCGCCGCTAACTTTTTCTTTTTTTACAAATTTTAACAGTAAAGCCAAGAATTTGGTTTTACCTTCAGGTTATTTCCTAAGCGTGGCAGGGTTGAAAATTTACCTTCAGAATGTATACACAAATCGTTGAATAGAACAACTACCATGCTAACTTACTAACAAATTTTCAAACAAACAATATACATCTTGCTATTGTGTAGATCGTACATACCAGATCACCCCGCGTCAGGAAACAAGCAACAGAGTGGCGTGCAAGATGATGCATCCAACCCCACTTCCTCAGCTGGCAACAACACAAAATGAGCAAAAGCACTCACATGATCTGGTAGTTATAAGTGATGCAAACAGAAAGAGGAAACAGAAAAGGGGAAGATAACGAAATGCTTATTAGGATATATACTGGGCTCCATGGATCCTGATATTTAAAACAAATCGGAACACCGCTTTAAAACCTAAAAAATATGGAATTGTTTTGTGCATGTACATACAGATGTGATTTGTGGTCTACAAAAAAAGACAAATATATGGGTTAAAATGGATCTACTTTTTACTTTTATGGACCCATAATTTTGGCTTTTTTGCGTAGATTACGAATTAACATATTTTGAAGTTAAAAGTTACAGATATATAGAATACATATATATTTATATGTTAGAAAACTTTTTTTACTTCTGAACATACATTTGGTGTTTTTGAAAATACCAGGCACCATGGAGAACAGAAAAACAAGGCACTCAGATAGGCATAAAGTTGTTGCACGTTTTTCAGGGCAAACCTGAATCATGATGGCATCAATCCATGGATATCCTGTCCGGCCATCTCTCCATGCAACAAACAGCTCCTCGTTCTCTATCCATGGGATCTGGACTAAAAGGGACTCCGATTATGATAAGAAGAGGGTTGCAGATAGAAAAGGAGGTGATTGGATGAGCAGACCTGTTTGCATATTTTGTTCCCTTCCATCTGATCGAAATTAGGAGTGCCAAAAGACACTGTGTAGAAGAAATCCCTCCACAGCAACTGTCAAAAGAAGCAGAAGTCTACAATTAAGGTTTTTTTGCCTTCAGAACAAACTGACCAATGCAGTTACAAATGAACTCACCTGGCCAGCCAACGAAACAGGTGGTTTTGTATGCGTTTTGGTACTCCTGTAGACATCTTGAATGCAGTGGTAAAAGTACCTCGCCGACAGGCAACCGAACTGACATAACGAACCATTTCAATTTCAACACTAACCTAAAGCAAATGGCAATGAACGAAGTCGATAAGAGTGGCTGACAAGGCTCACTTTCAGATACGGTGACAAGACCGTTGTTGCGGGTTTCAAGAAGGCAGAAGGGTCACCCTTAGGTTTCTCAAACTTGGCAACCCACTCCTGGGAAAAGGAATTTGGAATTGTTAATAGTATGACTGTAAAAGTAACTGGTGACTATAAACATTCAGAATTTCAGAGTCCAGAAGATATGGATGCAATAAATCAGAAATTTGGTCACTTTTCAGAAGTAGCACCTTATCCTGGAGTGACTCTCTCATCCTCTTCAGAGCTTCTGTCTCGCCGCCGCGGAATGGCGGAATGTACTCCTACATATGGATAGTCATTTAGTTAATGGAAACTGAAATCCCCACCCCTCGCGTCCCCTCCCCCTCGCGTCGCCTCCCCCCGGGCGGCGCCAGGGGCCCCGAAACCCTAGCGCCGCCAGCACCCTCTTGCAGCCTCCTCCTGCCGCCGCTGCCGCCGGCTTGGGCCGCGGTGGCGGCGGGCCCGGTGCCAAAGGTTTCTGGGCGGGTGGATGCGGCGGATTCCATCTGAGGCGGCGGGGGCGGCTTCTCTCGTGCGATCCAACGGCAGCAGCTGGGACGGCGAATCCGGGCTGTGCGGCGGAGGCCGGAGCACCATCGCCGGTGGAGTGGCGGCCCTGCATGGATGGCGGCGGTGGCAGCGCCCCATCTGGCGGGGTGGGCTGTTTTGGTCGTGATGGTGACGGCGGTCACTGCGGATCCAACGCCCCGTTTGGATCCATCGCGGGGAGGCCTTCCGCCGACCGGTGGCGCGTGGAGGGACCGGTGAGGAGATGCCGGATCTCCGCCGGAGTACCGACGGCGACATACGTCTTTGTGGCGAGATTCCGCTCGGTTCCAGCCAGCCACGAGGTCGGGAAGACAGGGCTTCCGGTGAAAATCGCGCCTGACTGCGGTCTTGGTGGGCGATGGCGGCGTCTCGGACGTCGTTCCCTTCTGGAGGCATCGTCGTTGCAGGTCACATCAACCTGATCGGGAAGTTCCGGGGGAAACTCTAGATCTGGGTCTACCGGATCGGACGATGACGGTGCCTTCGGTATCGTTCTCCCTCATGGGGGCATCGTTTTGGAGCAAGTGCTGGTTGGAGGGGACAAGAGGAGGAGCGGTGTTTCATCTGGTCCATTGATGACGGCGGATCTCGGCGACGTGGCGCAGTGGAGACTCGGCGCCTGATGTGCGGAGATGGACTCGCGCAGGAGGGTGACGCTGCCTGGCGTCGTGGTGGCGTCGGCGGCAGCTAGACCGGGCAAGGTTGATGCAACAGTACAACTCTGAAGATGGTTTGGTGCAGGTGGCTGCGGCGGCCTCATACCCGGCAGGCGTCCTGGTTGAGAAGCACGCCGGACTGGTTGGTGCCCATACCCGGCAGGCGTCCTGGTTGGGATCTGAAGTCTTAGATGTTAGGTTTGGTTGCGAGGTCTGTTTGGTATTAGGCCCAGACTTTCAGCGCCCCTACATCAACTGGATAGGGATAACGATAGACGTTGCTTAGTTGGTGGCTTTAGGCTTATTGTTATATGTCTCTTTAAGGTCTTGTGTCAATAATTAATAAAATGGCCGTATGCATCGTCCAGATGCAGAGGCCGGGGTCGTCCTCCTTTTTCTAAAAAAAAATGGAAACTGAAACCTGGTCAAGCGTACTACAGTACTACATTATATGCAATGTTCTACTGCTCTAACCTGGCTGACATCACCATATCCAAGCTCCTCCAGTTTGGGCACAGGCAACAACTCATATCCTCCCGTATCACCAATTGGCGGGAGCTCAGAGTATTCCTCCATCACTGGCTTGGGCGGCTCTCCAGCGGTAGCCACAAACGATTTGTATGTCAACGGTGGCCGGCCCCCATTCTTCAGGTTGCAGACGGAAGTAAAAGACATCCCATAATTAAGCATATGACTCCAAACATTCTATCAAGAAACGAACAACAGTGCTGCCTACCTTCTCTATGATTTCTGCTGGGTCAAAAAGGGTGTGGCTGACAGGCGAGAACACCTCGATCCCCGACGCAGCAGCAAAATCCTTGAACAATCAGAGTAATTTGGTAATGTTCTAGTCAAAAACTAGTACTTGGGGAGTGATCACTACCCTTCTTACCGTGACTCTCTTGTCGCGGGCCAGGGCGTACGGCTCGGTGTCGGACTCGAAGCACAGCTTGCCGATGTTCCACTGCCGCCACGGAAGAACAGAAGAATGTCGCCAATTAGGCTCCGAAATGCTTGCGAGATTGCGTGGTAGGTTGGTAAAGCGTCTGGCTACGTACGTCCTTGAGGGCTGCGCAGACGGCGTCCGAGACGTCGTCGCGGGCGCGCAGGACGAGGAGGCGTGAGCCGAGGCGGCGGAGGCGGGCGTCCAGGTCGCGGAGGCTCTCGAGGAGGAAGCGGACGCGCGCGACCCCGGCACGCGCGGAGCCCTGGGAGGGCGCGGCCGGGTCCGAGCGGAGGTACCGCGGGTCGAGCACGAACACCGGGTAGACCCGCGCGGCGCTGCGCCGGGCCGCGTCGAGCGCCGGGTTGTCGTGCACGCGCAGGCCCTTCCGGAACCAGACCAACGCCGCCGCCGCGGTCGCCGTCGCGGCGGTTGCAGCGTCCATTAGCGGTGGCGAGTCTCCGACGCTCCTAATCGGGAAGTTATGGAGTGAAGCGTGGGTATGGAGCGTTGATCAGGAATCTGATGGTGGAAGTTTGAACCGCGAGGGGTAGAGGCGGCGGGTGGCGCGGCAGCGGCCACGTCGGTTTCAGTGGGGATTTTTTTTTTTTTTTGAGAAAGTATGCTTGTGTCAAATCACAAAATAATACAAAGTCATTTATCCGTACAAGCACACTCTAACTCACGCACAAATAATCAGAATAACAAACAACACCCTAAAACAACCAGTAAAACACGAAGATATCTGGAGCTCTGCGATATCATCTCTAAACCTTGCAAGAAGACCCCTGTAACACAAGCATCTGGAACCAAACCTACACATGTCATCACCTTCAACCACAGTATAATCGCCGCCATGCTGCTCCCATTTTTCTTTACTCCAGCGCTGAAAAGACCAGGATGCATCCAACATGCATGCACCAACCTTCGCCATCTATGGCTTTGAGTATCGATGTATGTGCCCGTTCCAGATGGAAGAGAACTAAGATCATGTTCTGGCGCCGCGGTCGGGCCAGCTGCCCGGGCAAAGCAGAATATCCCTCCAACAGCAACACAAAGGAGGAAGAAATGCAGTAGGAAACAGAGGTGATTCTACCGTACGGTCACCCCGTGTACGTGCCCGGGCTCGAGCGCTGCCAATTTTCCAAGCGCCGAGTCTGTGAATACGTGCAATATACTGTCAACAAATACATCTGGTTCATGAATTGGACTACTTCGAGCATTAGCGTGCTCACGTCAAAGGCCCGTCCATTACTACCTTACATGGGCCACAATAGGTAATCAGATCGTGCGTGTGAATCCATCGAAAATCATTAGTTGAGGAATATTCGTTACAAAGATCATTTCAACTTCCCTGGTTGCAACAAATGGCACATATGCAGCGCGTCACTTGTCATAACCTGGGATTTTTCTTTTTCGTAGATTCGTTTATTCAAAACGTTTTATCTCTCAAACCGTGCGTCCAAATCTTGAACCGCTTTCACCATTGGATTCCCCGCGTCAAGATCTTCAAAACTAGATCCATGTTGATAGATTTTGACGAACTTTTTTTCACGAAAAAACCGAACAGAAAAAAGCAGATTTAAAACCGAACCGGGAGCACGGGTTTTTCCCTTTCCGAAAGAGGCACGCCCATGCCTGTCACGAAATCACAACAATGCCTCTCGCAGAAGCAAAACCGTGACTCTCGCGAAAGAAAAAAAACGTGTTTTTTCCGTTTTCGAGGAAGCACGTCTGTGACTCTCGCCAAAGCACAACTATGCCTCTCGCGGAAGCAAAACCATGACTCTCGCAAAAGGAAAAAAACAGAAAACGCGTTGTTTTCGTTTTCGAGAGGCACGGCCGTGGTTCTCGCGAAAGCACAACCGTGAATCTCGCGGAAGCAAAATCGTGACTCTCGAAAAGAAAAAAGAAACAGAAAACGCGTTTTTTTGTTTCTGAGAGGCACGGCTGATACATCTCCGTCGTATCTATTTTCCAAACACGTTTGCCCTTGTTTTGGACTCTAACTTGCATGCTCAGAATGACATGAAAATCAACGGATATTATTTTTGGAATATATAAAAAATACTGGAGAAAAGATCCACGTTAGGGGGCCCACACCTTTTCCACCAGGGTGGGGGCGCGCCTACTCCCCTAGGCACGCCCCCTGCCTCGTGGGCCCCCTAATGCTCCACCGACGTCCATGTTGACTCCATATATTCACTTTCGGGAAGAAAAAATCAGAGAGAATGATTCATCGCGTTTTACGATACGGAGCCGCCGCCAAGCCCTAAACTCTCTCGGGAGGGCTGATCTGGAGTCCGTTCGGGGCTTCGGAGAGGGGAATCCGTCGCCATCGTCATCATCAACCTTCCTCCATCACCAATTTCATGATGCTCACTGCCGTGCGTGAGTAATTATCGTAGGCTTGCTGGACGGTGATGGGTTGGATGAGATTTATCATGTAATCGAGTTAGTTTTATTAGGTTCTGATCCCTAGTATCCACAATATTCTGAGACTGATGTTGCTATGACTTTGCTATGCTTAATGCTTGTCACTAGGGCCCAAGTGCCATGATTTCAGATATGAACCTATTATATTTTCATGAATATATGTGAGTTCTTGATCCTATCTTGCAAGTCTATAGTCACCTATTATGTGTTATGATCCGTTAATCCCGAAGTGACAATAATCGGGATACTTACCAGTGATGACCGTAGTTTGAGGAGTTCATGTATTCACTATGTGATAATGCTTTGGTCCGGTACTCTATTAAAAGGAGGCCTTAATATCCCTTAGTTTCCAATAGGACCCCGCTGCCACGGGAGGGTAGGACAAAAGATGTCATGTAAGTTCTTTTCCATAATCACGTATGACTATATTCGGAATACATGCCTACATTACATTGATGAACCGGAGCTAGTTCTGTGTCATCCTATGTTATAACTGTTGCATGATTGATCACATCCGACATAATTATCCATCACTGATCCAATACCTACGAGCTTTCCACATATAGTTCTTCGCTTATTTACTTTTCCGTTGCTACTGTTACAATCACTATAAAACCAAAAATATTACTTTTGCTACCGTTACCACTACTATCATATTACTTTGCTACTAAATACTTTGCTGCAGATATTAAGTTTTCAGGTGTGGTTGAATTGACAACTCAGCTGCTAATACTTGAGAATATTCTTTGACTCCCCTTGTGTCGTATCAATAAATTTGGGTTGAATAATCTACCCTCGAAAACTGTTGCGATCCGCTATACTTGTGGGTTATCAAGACTATTTTCTGGCGCCGTTGCCGGGGAGCATAGCTCTATTCTTTGAGTCACTTGGGATTTATATCAGTTGGTCACTATGAAGAACTTGAAAGATCGAAGAACCAAGATATTTCCCTCAAGTATGAGGGGAGCTAAAGAACTGCCATCTAGCTTTGCACTTGATTCATCTTCTGTTTTGAGTAAACTTGTGACACCTACTGCTGCTATTCATTCTGATATGTCGCATGTTATTGATGATGCCACTTCTACTTTGCATGATACTTATGATGAAACTACTTCTATGCTTGATACTACTGTGGCATTAGATGAATTTCTTGATGAACAACTTGCTAGGGCTAGAGAGAATAAAATTATTGAAACTGATAATATTGATTAAAGTGATGATGAAGATTCTCCCCCTAGATATGAATTACATGTTGTTCCTGAGGGTTATGTTATGGATGAAGAAACTGCTAGAGACTTCTTAGCTTGCAATGATAGATCTGATCTTAAGAAATTATTAGCTAAGCTTAAAGAAAAGTCTTTGAATGCTAGAATGAAATATGACCCTGCTTTTGCTGCTTCACCTATCTTTATTACTGATAAGGATTATGATTTCTCTGTCGATCCTGAGTTAATTACTTTGGTTGAATCTGATCCTTTTTATGGCTATGAATTTGAAACTGTTGTGGCACATCTTACTAAATTAAATGATATAGCCACCCTGTTTACTCAAGATGAGAAAACTCGCCATTACTTTATCCTTAAGTTGTTTCCGTTCTCATTGAGGGAGTCCTGGATTAGGGGGTCTCCAGACAGCCGGACTATATCCTTTGGCCGGACTGTTGGACTATGAAGATACAAGATTGAAGACTTCGTCCCGTGTCCGGATGGGACTCTACTTGGCGTGGAAGGCAAGCTAGGCAATACGGATATGGATATCTCCTCCTTTGTAACCGACCTTGTGTAACCCTAACCCTCTCCGGTGTCTATATAAACCAGAGGGTTTTAGTCCGTAGGACAACATACAATCATACCATAGGCTAGCTTCTAGGGTTTAGCCTCTTTGATCTCGTGGTAGATCTACTCTTGTACTACCCATATCATCAATATTAATCAAGCAGGACGTAGGGTTTTACCTCCATCAAGAGGGCCCGAACCTGGGTAAAACAATGTGTCCCCTGCCTCCTGTTACCATCCGGCCTAGACGCACAGTTCCGGACCCCCTACCCGAGATCCGCCATTTTTGACACCGACATTGGTGCTTTCATTGAGAGTTCCTCTCTGTCGTCGCCGTTAGGCTTGATGGCTCCTACTATCATCGATAGCGATGCGGTCCAGGGCGAGACTTTTCTCCCCGGACAGATCTTCGTGCTCGGCGGCTTTGCACTGCGGGCCAATTCACTTGGCCATCCGGAGCAGATGGAAAGTTACGCCCCTGGCCACCAGGTCAGGTTTGGAAGCTTAAACTACACGGCCGATATCCATGGAGATTTGATCTTCAAAGGATTCGAGCCTCTGCCCTGTGCGCCACGCGGTCACGATGAGCGTGACTTAGCTGTCCCATCGGACAATGTTAAGGAGATCGCACCGGCAGCCGCTCCGACCCTCAATTCGGAGCCAGTTGCGCCTTCCGCGGACGGGTGGATGGACCCCGCTACGGAGGCCTTACCCTCAGTGGCGATCGAGCCGAACATCGACCTGGCCTTGCATGAGAGCCGTGTTGTTAAACTGCCGGATCCTTCTCCGGTCACGGACTCCGAACCACCTGCGCCCGTTCCTATCGAATCCGATTGGGCGCCGATCATGGAGTTTACCTCCGCGGATATTTTTCAACACTCGCCCTTTGGCGACACACTGAATTCATTAAGGTCTCTCTCCTTGTCAGGAGAATCCTGGCCGAACTACGTCCGGCAGGACTGGGATGCGGACGACGAAGAAATTCGAGGCCCACCCACCACCCACTTGGTAGCCACTGTCGATGACTCAACCGACATGCTCGACTTCGACTCCGAAGACATCGACAGTATGGACGACAATGCGCGAGGCGAAGAGGAACCACCGCCCACAGGGCGCTGGACGTCCACCTCATCATATGACGTATACATGGTGGACACACCAAAAGAAGACGACGACGAGGAACAGAAGGACGCAACGAAGGCTTGTCCCCTCGAGAAGCAGTCAAAGCGGCGGC